AGAAAACAGCCTGAGATTTGAGGTTGGCTCTGTTTTCCCTCTGTTCCCCCACCTGCACACCAACAGAGAATTAATTGCTCCTGATGAAGTTGGATAGAGTTCCAGGTGGTCCTATCCCTGCACAGCTCCCTTTTACTAAGTGTATCTATATGAACCCTTAGCCAGGTAGTGGGGGGAGCTTGGCCCATGCTCCCTTTTCTCATCAACTCTCTGACTCTGTCTGTAAAAGGTAAGAGCATCATCTGGAGAGTTTATTCCTTCCCTTGTCACAGGGAGGCCACTGCCTCACCTTTGCAGATGTTTTCCTTCTTGTCCCAAACTACGAATCTTGTTTCTTTACTGCCCCTACCAAGTCTGTACTGGGCCTCTCTCCCCTGTGCTGCCCCAGCCTGCCGCCCTGGGCCCTTGCCTGGAAGCACAGACAGCACCTGTGCTAGAGCCTTGCTTTCTCCTCAGCTGGTTGTCTTGGGAAGAGGGCTTTGGCTTGGGGGGACGGGTATATCTTGTTTCTCGCTTTTGTCACTTCATCCCAGTTACCTACTGGTTATGGGACTTGGCTTTCGTTTCCCTCTCGTCTCCATGACAGAGCCCACAACTCCAGTGAAGGCCAAGGAGGTGCCCAAGAAGAAGAAGAAACCCTATGGAAAGAAGAGTGAGTGATGTTTGATTAGTGCCCTCCCGCTCGCTCGCAGGCTGGGCCCAGTTAGAGGAACCCTGTCCATGTCCCATCAGAGCAGGAGAGAGAGGCCTTGTCTTGCTGTGGATGCCCTCAGTCAGCTGTGGGTTTGCCAGCACAGCTTCATCCTTCTTACCTGCCCTGTTACCTAAAGAGCAGAGAGCTGTGTGTGGGAAGGATCTGTTTTGCAGTCTGTTTTCTGTTGACTGGCACTTGCTTCCAGGTGTGAGGTTGTGCTGCTTTCCCTACCGTGTCCATGGTCAGAGGGAGATGTTTGCTGCAGCTGCAGGGTAACTGAAGAGCAACCCTGCCTGCTTTGTGCTGAGGGAAAGAAGGCCTTAAGATGGCCGAAGAGGCCAGTAACGGGGCTGAACCATTTTATTGTTTCATCTTGTCGTTGTTGTTGTCATTGTTGCAGTAGGTGTGGCAAATCATGTAGACAGACAAGAAATTCCTTCCGGGGGGGTGGAGAGGAAAGGAAGTCTAAAGAATATAAAGACATGCAACCTAAATAAAAAGGTCAGCCAAAAATGAGAACATTACGGTTACAGTGTCCGTGCCTTGCAGCCAACAAGCTCATTGCCTAGGACTAGAGCCAGACAGGTAAGCAAAGCTGACTCCACACTGATTCCAACAAGACTTGCTCCTTGGAATTTAAGCACACGCTGAAGTGCCTTGCCTTTAATGAAGGAGAACACGAAGGAGCACATTTTGAGATGATGACGATAGAATTTTTCTCCAGTAGGCTATTTCTGTCGCGTAACCAGTTGGCAGCTAATGACCGTGTAGCTTTCTGTTCAGTTGTGCTGGTCCCTGGCCTGTGGTTTCTCAGTGGAGCAGGGTTGCTGATTTTACAGGGGAAACACACTTTTCCCCATACTCTGTTATCTCTTTATTAAGGAAAAAAGTTGCCTGCCAAAGCCCGCAGTGTCAAGCAGACTGTCAAGAAGCCTTCCACCTCGAATGCAAAACGAGAAGCAAAAGCTGCCAGCCAGGCTTTGCCAGAGCCAGCACCTGATGAGAGTAAGGGAGTGAGTGACTCTACCCAGCAGCCACATCCAGTTCTCCTATGTACACCCTGCATGCCACCAACCCTCCTGAGGCCTGTACCACCTCTTGGCCATTAAGTCATGGGTGCCCCCAGACAGGGAAAGCCAGCAGTGTGTGAAATGTCCTTCCTTACTCCTCCAGAGACAGAGTGGAAGGAAGGGTTTGCTGGCTTTCCCTGGGAAAAGAAAAACTTCTTGCTTCCAGAGAAGGTTTGGTGGCACCAGTACAGCTCGATATCCTGATACTACTGATGCCTGCTGAGGGCCTGGGTGCCTTACCAAGCAGTCTGGTTGTGTGAGGTCAGTTAGGGAGGAGAGACAAGGTGAATATGGCAGAGCTGACTGTCATATCCCAGTCCCCCTCAGGGCTGTTGCAGCATGTGGACACAGCCCATTGTGCTGTGGTGACCAGAAGAGTGGATGGGTACCTGCCAACCCTAGTGGGGAGGAGGGTGGGTGAGGTGCCTTGTGCACATGGGAATGGAACCTCATGAAGGTCTCTCTGGTTCACTAAAGTTAAATTTCCCCTGGGTGAACCCAGGCGGGTAGAAAAGGGACCACACCAGCTTTTTGTCCCTTATGAAAACGTTCTTGGGAGCCAGCAGCTGAATGCTGCCAGGGTTTAATCCCATCCTGATTGGTGCTGTGACCATGGATCAATTTTCACTGGCATGACAGGGCTGCCTGTGGTGAGGGACCCTCAAAAAGTGAGCTGGAAATCTGGGGCATGAATAGAGCTGGTTTGGAGGTTGATTTTATTTACTTATTTTTGCCTCTCTCTTTCTGTCTCTTGCTAGTCATTGCCGTGCAGGTGAAAGAAGAAACCATCGACCCCTCAGATGCAGAATTTGGAGACACAGGACTTCCTGTTCCCATCAGCAGCATAAAGCAGGAGGACGCAGACTGATCCTGGAGTATCCCCCAGCTGCCCACAGCAGTTTCACCTTGTGGTCCTCTGGGGAAGGTCCTGGCAGAGGGAAGCAGAAGACTAAAAGGGCCTTCCCTTTTTAAAGCAGACCACCCTGCAGCATCACAACTCTGCTTTCCTGGTGTGCAAGAAAATTTCCCCCAGAATTGTAATACTAAACCCTGGGAAACAGCAGAAAGGCCACAGGCACACTGCAGAGAATGACCAGGGTGGCTGCTGGGGCTGCGTGTACCTGACTTTGAAGGCACATTTTGAAGCGGGAGCTCACAACGGGCAAAGAAGCTGCCAGAACAGAAAGGGGCAGTTTGAGTTCTTGGCTGTGGCTGGAGGTGACAAGCTATAGACTGAGGTGATGTGTGCAGGCCCCATGTGTCAGGAAAGGGGCTGTCCTCGTAGGATGTTGGTGCTGTGTTCCCTGGTCTAGGCTCTGCAAGCCCTGGAGAAAGTCAGGACAGGAAGGGGGGAAAGAGTTGAAAAAAAAAAGAGATGATGATGCCTCTTGAAAGAGCAAGGGACCTTTTTTCATAGAATGGTTTTGGTTGGAAGGGGACCTGGAAGATCACCTGGTTCCACGCCCTGTGCTGTGGGCAGGGACACCTCCCACTAGAGCAGGTTGCTCAAAGCCCCATACAACCTGGCTTTGAACACCTCCAGGGATGGGGCATCCACAATGTCCCTGGGCAACCTGTACCAGTGCCTCACCACCCTCACAGTAAAGAATTTTTTCCTAATATGTAATCTAAACCTACTCTCTTTCAATGTAAACCTGTTCCCTCTTGTCCTGTCACTACATGCTCTTGCCCCATCTGTCCTTTCAGGTACTGGAAGGCCACAGCTAGGTCACCCAGAAGCCTTCTCATTTCCAGGCTGAACAATCCCAACTCTCCCAATTTTCCTCATAGGAGAGGTGTGCCATCCCTCTGATCAACTTGGTGACCCTCCTCTGCACTCACTGCTGTCAACTTGCCAGTTCTATGTAAGGGTTAAATATTACAAGAGCACATAATAACTTCAGATAACTGAAGACAGGGAATGCTTTTTCCAGTTTTAGGGTGAAACTGTAATATTCCTCTCTTTCCCTAGACTGGCCATTGAAGTTCAGGACAGAATTCAGGAAAGAATATGACAACAGTGATGAGAAATAGTTTTAAATCTCCTGTAGCAGGTTCCTGAGAACTTTCTGCAGGTAAGGAAGGGCCACTGCAGGGCCAGGTGGCTGCAGGACAAGTGCCTTGGCAAACTGTGGCACAAAACAGGGAAATGGTGGCTGCAGAGGATGCTGCTTTGGCCACAAAATGGCTGCCTGGGCCACGTGCCCCTCAAGCTTCCAGGCGAGAGCTTGAGATGCCACAGTAGCTCTTGCTTTGCAGTATGATTCATGACCGAAAAAATAAGGTTGGCAAGCTAACTGTCTAGAAAGCACAGGGTAGATACTGGGAATAATTAACACAGTATTCCTCTTTTCCCTTTTAAAGAAGCAAATGGAGCCTTTAAAGGGAGAGGGAAGAAGGGGCTTGGCCGGAGCAATGAAACATAAGTGGAAAAACTGTGGAAGGTTTGCATCAAACCAGGCACAAGAGCTGTGCCATCCCTAGGTGATCCTCGTGAGGGCCCTGGGCTCCTGGGGGAACTGTGCTAGAGTCAGCATGGTTGGAAGAAGTGGAAGTTTTTATGGAAAGCATGTAGCAGGGCTTCCCTTTGGCTAGTTGCCTTTCCTGGTAGCTCTGTAGTAGGTTTCAGTGTGGGAGGATCTCATTTCAGGGCAAAGCCATTGCCTTTCTTTCTTCCCCTCTCTCGGGCTGACCTTTTCCCAGCCTTGTCAAACAACTGGGCTTGTAGGGCCACCTCTCTTTAGAGGATGATAATTTCCAAACACCTTTGGCTTTCTTTCACCTGTTTTTTTTCTGTAATAATTCTATGCCCCACATGGTAGTTTAATGCTTATCTTTTAAAGCCTTTTCAATTTGAACAAACTTCATCCCAACCTAGGCTTCCATGGGAAAGGATTTGGGCACTTTGCTTATGATGGGATCACTTACAGGATCACTGATCCCATTTCATCAGTCAGACCACTGATTGAATTTTGCAGGAAATAAAAAGGCTTCAATCTGCTTATGTTTTAATTCTTAGGAGCTTCTGGGAATTCAGGCAATGCTTTCACTGATATTTTTAAGTTTTCTAGCGTAAGATTTGCACCAGTGCTGGATCTTAGTGGTTGGTGCCCATTGCAGTCCCACTTGGGGCTCTTTGATGACTTCAGAAGCTGCGAAAGCGCGGCATGCTTAAAAACAAAAACAAACTTGTGGATATTGGCCTTTCCACATGGCTGAAGGAAGCCTTGGGAAGAAAAAAGCAAGTATTTGACTTTGTTGTTTGAGTCATCAAAGCATGCTGCAGACCCTATGGAACGTGCCGCTGTATCCTGCAACACCAAGCGCTGCATCTTTGGCAAATCAGCATTGTTTTGGTGGCACCAGGCTCTCTCCTTTGAGCCTTGGGCAATATCCATATCTCCATGGTGGGGACAAGTCTAGAAAAAACTGCTCTCACCAGAGTGTGAGTGTGGCTCTGTTACATCCTGCACGCCTTAGGAAACCTTAAGCTCTGCTCTTGTTGAAGCCTCTGGCTGGAGATTTTCCTGATCTCTTTTTCTTGCTGGGCTTGCTTGCAGCCGTAGTCTTCTCAGGATTGGCTTCCCCAGCCTCACCTCGGCCCCAGCCAGGGCAGGTTTGGAAAGTGGTGGAAAGCTTTACCTTCAGCCCCTGGGCTTCTGCAGGGGACCCGCAGGTGGCCCCTACACGGAGGTTGAGTTTGTTGATCCACCTGGAAATGTGGCAGAAGATCAGGGAAAGAAATGGGACAGGGCGAAGGGAGAGGTGGAACTCTGCCCATGAGTGGACAATCACTTCAAAGTCTCTCCAGGTTGCTTAGAGTCTCACCTGGATGACCTTTGAATATCTTGAATATCTGCCAAACCCAACTTGTGGGTGCTTTCCCTATACCAGGAAAGCCCAGGCTACGTGCATCCTCGCACATAGGTGCATGCTCCATATCACCACCATGGGAGAGGGCCCAAAGTGGCCAGTGTGCCGTGAGCTTGTGCCTCTGGCATGGTAAGGTCCAACTGCCCCCCAGGTTGCTCCCTGAGGCTGTTCCGCCCTCGCAGCACTCACCTGCGCAGGGGAAGGAGCTGGCAGTCGCAGTGGAAAGGTACATCCTGCAGGTTGAGGATCTCCAGGCTCGTGAAGTTGCTCATATCGGGGATGTTGCTCATTTTGTTTCTCTCCAGGTAGAGGCTTCTGATCTTGGGACCAAGGCCAGCAAAGGCATGAGGGGAAATCTGCAACAGAGGGAGGGTGAGTCAGGGGGTCCTGATGGGGGCGGGGGAGAAAATCTCTGCCCCTGCACTGCTAATCAGCTTGGGAGCCTGTCCTGAACCTGGAGGCCCCACAAAAGAGCTGCTTTAAACAGGGGGGACTGTTAATTAGTTCAAGCAGTTTCAGTCACATTTTGGGGCTCAATAGACCCCCCTTCAGTCTTCATAGAAAGAATGAGACATGCAGGAGGTCTCGGAGTGAGCCCTGGATGCTGTTAAGATACACAGTCCTTATGAGGGTGCTGCTAACACTTCTTTCTTGAGAGGATGGAGACATTTGGGGTAATAGCAGTGAAAAGTCCTGCAGGACAGCCTGTAATAAGAGAAAGAGAAATCTGGCTGGGGTTGGGGAAAGGAGATGATCTGGGCCCCACTGAAATGATGGGTAAATGTCCTTAAAGACTGGAGGGAGTAAGCCTGTCCCAGGGGAGCTGTGGACAAGGCTGCAGTAAGGCAATTCTACAGCTGAGTCTCTGCCCAGCCAGGCTATGGAGCATCTCCTGAAGCCTTGGGAATTTGGGGACGTCTGTTTGGATGCTCCTATAGGGGCCACCAGCCCTGGGCAGTGTGGAAGAAGATGGGACCTGTGGCTGTGCCCTCTGGTGCCACTGCCCCTCAGGAGTCCTGTACTGCACTCACCTGCTCCAGGCCCATGTTGTCCAGATACAAGTGCTGCAGACTGGAGGCCACTGGCAGGAAGACACCATCCCCCATGCGCTTGATGGGGTTTCGGGACAGCTTTAGCTCACTCAGGGCAGACAGGCCCCGCAGGGCTGCTGTGGGCACCTCCACCAGGTGGTTTCCCTCCAGCTGCAGTTTCTCCAGCATCTTGGCAGGAGCCAGGGCAGCAGGGGCGATGTGCCTGATGGCATTCCCAGTGAGGTAGAGCCAGCGCAGCCCCCTGGCTCCGGCCAGGTCACCCTCTGCCAGCTCCCCGATGGCGTTGTGCCGCAGGTGGAGGGAGATGAGGTTGGGCAGGAGCTGGAAGGCGCCCGCGGGCATACGGGTGAAGGCATTGCGATCCAGGTCGAGGTAGGCCAGCTGTGGGGCCCCCTCAAAGGCAGCAGCTGCCAAGGTGGAGAGGCGGTTGTCAGTGAGGTACAGGTAGACCAGGCTCTCCAGCCCCCGCAGTGCCCCGGGCTGCAGTGCCCTAATGCTGCAGCTCTGCAGGTGGAGGGACACCAGCTCCTCCAGGCCAGGGAAGGCATCTGGTGGCACTGTCCTGAAGGTGTTTCTGCGCAGGTCGAGAAGGCGGGTGTCCCTAGGGAAGTCCCGGGGGATCTCCTGTAGGTTCCTGTTCTCACAGGACCCATGATGGAAATCAGGGGAGCAGACGCACCCCTGGGGGCACCGCCTGCTGCCAGCTGCCCTTGGCTGCTCTGATGGTCTGCTGGGGCTGGGGGGTGGCCAGAGGCGACTGCAGCTCATCTCAGGGGGCTTCAGGGAGTCAAGGGGCCGGCCTCGGAGGGCAGGGGGTGCAGCACAGGCACCTTCAGCCTGCACCCGTGCCCTCGCCAGCCAGTTGTGGAAGGGGCGCAGGAGGCAGGAGCAGAGCAGAGGGTTCCCATGCAGGCTGACCCTCGCCAGCCCCCCGGCCCCAGCCAGGGGTGGCAGCCCCTGCAGCTGGTTTTCGCGGAGGTCCAGCACACGCAGCTGGGGGCTGCGGGCAAAGGCGTCCGGTGCCACGTCCTGGAGGGAAGCATGGTCCAGGAAGAGGTGCCTCAGCGAGGCCATGGCCAGGGCCTCCTCGGCCACGTAGGTGATGGGGTTGTGGCCCAGGTCCAGCCGGGTAGCCCCATCCAGCCTGGCCAGGGCCTCACCAGGCAATGACTGCAGCTCATTGTGGTCCAGGCTCAGCCTACGCAGGGCAGGCAGGGCAGCAAAGGCCTCACTTCCCAGCACATGGAGGGCGTTGTGGGACAGCCGGAGCCACCTAAGCACCTGCAGACCCTGGAAGACCATGTCTGGGAGGTAGACCAAGGCATTTGCCCTCAGGTCAAGGACAGTGAGGGACCCCAGATGGCCAAAAGCACCTGGCTGGATCTCCTCAATGCGGTTCCCCTCCAGGATGAGCTGCTGGAGGGAGGACAACCCATCCAGGGACTCCTGGTAGAGAAGGGCTATACTGTTGGAGGCCAGGTTAAGGTAGACCAGCCTTCCCAGCCCTCGGAAAGCCCCTTCCTCCAGCCTCTCCACCTTGCAGTGCTGCAGGTCTAAGTGTGTGAGGTAGGGGGTGGCAAGGAAGGCTCCTGCTGGGATGACCGAGAAGCTGTTGCCCCGAAGGTCTAGCTTTTTGGTGAGCTGTTGGCCACACAAATAAAACACTTGAGTTACCCCAGGGCTACCATACCTACCTTCTTTCCCCATCCCTTGATCTTTCCCTTGCCCACCTCTGGGATGGTGTCAGGGATGGCCACCAGGCTCCCATTGAGGCACAGGACGTGGGCACGGAGGTTGTCGCAGACACAGGGTGCAGGGCAGCGGGCAGCACCCGCTCCCCCCAGGGCTGCTGCCAGCAGGAGGAGCCCCCAGGACAGCCTCATATCAGAGGGCACCTGTGGCTGGGGAGAGACAGCAGTGAGGCCAGGAAAGAGGCCAGGCTCCTGTGCATCCCCAAACAGCATCTCTGGCTTGGCACACAGAGTACCCAGGGGGCTGCTGCTGTGACCTGGTGGGGCAGGTCTGTCTCTTGCTCTCACACTGTGATTTCATGGGTCATAAATGAGGAAGAGAGTGGAAGAAAGAAGATAAATACTTGGAATGAAAACTGAAGGTAACAACTAGCAGGTCACTCGGGGGAACTGGCTTGAAGCTGATACACACCCCCCCCTTTTCTTCACACAGCACTAACATAAGATTGCCTTGGTCTGTACAAGCTATCAATATCCCTCCCAAAACTGCTTTTTTTGTAAGGCAAGCAGGTATAGCCACCCAGGGGATGTGATCACAAAGCCTTCCGAGCTGCCACCCTTCTTTAAATGGCAAATGTCCCATATCTCCACCACCATGGCCACTTCCTGCCTCCCCAGCTCTGTGCCTCCCACCCTGCATGCTCTCTGCTTCCCCCTCAAGCTATTCATAGCAGTTTTTGGAATAGAACTCCACTGTTTAGCTGCAGGAAGGACGAGTTGGTTTTGGCTGGGCAGGAGTGAGCCCCTGGGGCGAAGGTACCAGAGAGAGGCCAAGGCTGGGGCAAGCACAGAGGAGGCAGTGGGGCTGCAGATATGGCCAGTGCACACCTCTAGGCTCTAAGACAACAGCAGTGGGGTCTGCAAGGCTCAAACCTGTGGAGCCACTGTGGTGCGCAGCCCCTTGCCCACTGTGACTCATCGTCCCCTGTGGGTCCATGCCCCAACTCCGCCCTCCTGCTTGAAGGAGCAGGACACCCAGTCCTGCTGCAGCCCACACACACACCGGGGTCACCCTCCTCCTGTGTGCCCACCAGCAAGTGCCACCACTGCAATGCCCCAGCTCAGTCCCCATGCTGTGCCTGGGGCACTGCCACATGCCAGGCATCGCCCCACCCCTGCCTCCCACACACCTGAGGGGTTCACACAACCGGGGCTGGGAGTACCTGGACTTCAAGAAGTGGCGAAGAAAGAGAGGAAAGCGTCTCCTGCCCCTTGTAGCAGCTGCCAGGCTCCTGCACCAGTGTTTGCTCTCCTTGCAGAAGCAAGAACTGAATGGGCCCCGTTGTGTCGCTTTCCCAGCAGCGCTCACTGGACGGGGCCAGAAACGTGGGAGGAGGGAAAGGAGGAGAGGGGGAGGAAGGGTAAGCCACCTCTGGAGAGAGGGCAGCAACCCAGACATTGCCTCCCCCTTAATTCACAGGGGGCTGGGAGCACGAGCCCAGCAAAGCCCATGTGGGATTTGCACTCCCTGTTTCCTGAGCTATGCCTTTCCTTTCCTGGCTGTTAGTCACAGGAGCTACAGAGGTACAGGGCAGAAAGGTGACATCCAGCCAAAATTGCAATGGCAGCGGTAAGCTCAAGCAAAAGGGAAGAGGCAGCTGACCAGGCTGCAGGGCTGTGCCATGTTTACAGCCTTCCGCTCTCCTCATTTTGCTTCTTTTGAAGAGGCCAGGGGTGGCAGTGCCTGTGTGATACATCATTTGCTTGCAGAAGGGCAGTCCTGCTGGATTAGTGCTTCACTCTCCCAGGGAACGCAAGCAGATCTGCAGCCTGACAAAAATCTGGAAGATTTGATACTAATGTCTCTCTCCCCTTCAAGCCCTTCCCCTGTTCAGCAATCTCAGTTGCCAGAATCAGAATGTCCAATCCTGGTGCCACCTATGGGTGATGGACATGCTGGCCAGGGTCTGCAAGCCTCTCCAAAGCCTCCCTGGTCACTGCAGTGGGCTGCATCCTCTGTCCCTGCAGGGTCCCAGATGTGTTTAGTGCTCCTGGGACACAGGGTGACTTGACGTGGTGAGCAGCTTGGAGGCACCACCTCTCATGCTCAGCTCCACTCTGCTGTGCAGGGAGGACCATTGGGGATGCAGGTCTAGAGGAGATGAATCTACCTCAGGCTGGCAGAAGTCACCCTGAGGAGCTTACTGCCTGTGTTGAATCACCATGACCCATTTTGGGCTCATGGCTGGCCTAAGGTGAAGGCAGTGGTGCCTGTTCAATGTCACAGCCATAGTCTGGCCAGTGCTGGTGCCGTTTGATGGTCTTCACCCTGCACCTGCTGGGTGCTGCCAGCACAGCTGGGCCCTCATGCCTCCTTGAGCTGCTCCCACAGTCTAGCAATGCTGTATCCAGTGTCCCAGCTGCAGCCTGGCCACACTGCCCACTGCCATTCCTCATGCTACCACCCCAATATCCTTGAAGCACCATCCCTTCCTCACACTGGACACAGGTGGAGGGCAGTGATGGCTGGCAGGTCTGGGAAGAAACCAAAGGGACAACAGGCTAGAACAGCCCCAGCCAGGCAGTTTCAAGGGTCTGAGGAACCTCAACCACTTCCACCTGAACTCCAACCTCTCTGCCCCACTGGTGACAGAGCAGTTGGCACTCGGCATCTCAGCAGCAACCCCTTCCACCAGCCAATGTGGAACCAACTGCTGCAGCCACCTCCACCCCAGCTCTGGCCATTGTCCAGCCCACTCTGCTCCCCCCTGCCTGGACCCTCCATCACCTCCCCTGGCCAGGAGCCCCCACCCTGCCTGGCCAACAACCCAGACAGCTACACCTCCCTGGCAGTGGCCTGGGCTCTGCTGGAGAACCATGGGGAGGATGAGATGTGATACCAGGCACTGAGTGCCACCTCTGCCCTTTCCCCAGCTTCGCTCCAGGCTTTTATTTTGTTCATTTACCCAGCAAATATCTTGCCCACTTTAGCAGCTACAAAGCTGCAGAGAGGCAGCCAGTCTTTGTTCTCCCTGATGGGGCACAGGACATGAAGGCAGCACACCTGAACTTCCACTTGTTGGGGTCCAACTCACCTCTGCTAGGCCAGATACTTTTATTTCCTGTTAAATGTTTCACCTCTGCCTGCAAGGAGCCAGATTCCACTGCTACCACTACAGGGTTTCACTGTTCTTGGATGCAGCCAGAACTGTTCCATGCAAAGAGAGCTCTGCACCAACCATTGCTGCCTTGCTGGGCTGAAAAGGTTCAAACTAAAAATATATCTGACAACATCAGTGTGTTTGGGGGGAAATGGTTGCACAAGACAGGCCAAAGCAGCACTGAAATAACCTCAAATTCCTCCAGAGCACTGTTGGGATTCTCTGACCACAGTCATCCTATCAGAGCAACTTCTACTAGAAACCAGAGTCAGCAATTCCCAGCCTCTTTCCCCCCCCCCCCCCTTAATCCAGAGGCATAAAGGACTTTTGAGTCCATGTCCTACCTAGGAGTGAATCTGTCTTCTGCAGAGACTATCAATTCTACCCTTGCACACCTCTTTTTCCTACAGACATCTGATCTTGACACTAAATACCAGGCTCAGGAAAATCCTGTTTCTAAATAGTTTGTTTATGAAAAAAAAACCACCTGTAATTAATCAACCTCCCACGCTTGTCCTGCTGCTATGGCTTGGCTACTCAAAGCTGGTCTCACAGGTTCTCCCCACGACCTGGCCCACAGGTCCTTGTGCAAGCAGCCTTTCCAGGCTCCTTGCTCACAAAACATGCTCCATGGGACCCACTGCAGGTGGCCTCATGTAGAAGGTGACCCCTTGGTTTGGTCTCTGCATTACCTTCCTCTTCTCCATGACCCTCCTCCACAGCAGAGGAACAAAAGGAGCAGCAATACGCCAGGGAGCTTCAAAAATAGCTACAATGGTTCAAGACTTACAGAAACTACAGATTCTTTTATGTCTCAGTTTTGCCCTCGAGCTCACAGCAAAACTTAACAAGGATGGGATGAGGTGAAGGAGGCAGAGCTCAGCTTGCAGTGACTGAAATTCCTGTAGGTGCAGATGCCTTACCTTCAGTTGATTTTTACCAGTTTAGACACAGAGGAGTTCCAGCTTCAGTCAAAGAAAGTGGAAGAAAATGTATTTTGCTCTTAGCCTTAGGGCAACTTCTTTTTAATGAGGGGACACTGCTCTTACCCAAAGGCCAGCACTTTGCCAGCCAGAACGATGAGAGACACTGCTTTCCTGAGTGTGCTGGATCACAGCCCTGCCAAACCTCCCCCAGCCACCCAGTTTCACCAGTGGACTGCACTCTGCCAGCTGTAGTATATGTTGCATCTCACAACAAAGGAACAGCTAACTCAGTTTCCTTGACTTCTTCCTGGAACTATTTATACTGCATGTTGATGGTAAGGGAGGATGAACAGTCTCTAACAAAAAACAGAGAGGGAAGGAATAACTCTTTGCTACTTTAAGAGATGTGTTGATTCTCACAGGCTTGAAAGAAGAGGGAGCAGGACCAGACTGTGAGCTTGTGTGCTCAGGAGCAGTATGCCACACACCTGTACGGGCACACGGACAGTCCTCCAGACAGATTTAGGGGCATCTGCTGCTACTTGATCAGTGCAAGAAGAAAGCACAGCCCTGCCCAAGAATGACCAGCACAGGCTTTTCTCTCCATGTTCCACACATCCTCAGCTTTCAAACTTGTGAACAGTGCACAGTCCCAGTGTTTTGCAAAGGGAGGAGAAAGGGAACACATATTCCACAGGGATTTCATGGATTGTATTAATTTCCAAACCAAGCCTATTTTAATTAAGGAGAGAAGAGAAAGGGCAGGAAGAAGGAACAACACAGGCAATTTCAAAAAAATTTACAATAAAATATGCTTGCTCCCTTAAGCAATGGCCACCAAGGTCAGCCACACTACACAAATATTCCAAGCCACTGCAGAAGGGGAAGGGTATATTAAAATACAAATCAACCACACACTGCCTTTGACAAATGGACTTGAAAGAAGAACCGAAGGGGAACACACCTCACCCTCTGACCTGTGAGCAGCACTCCCCAGATCTGGGGAAGCAGGGGCAGTGGCAGTAGCAGCACAGCCTCCCTCTGGCACAGTGCTGAATGGTATCAGGCAGGAGTCAAAGTCCAATGAAATAAAAGAAAATGCACA